GCAATAATAATAATAATTAATATAATGAATATAATAATAATAATAATAATAATAATAATAATAATAATAATAATAATAATAATAATAATAATAATAATAATAATAATAATAATAATAATAATAATAATAATAATAATAATAATAATAATAATCTTATGTGCTTTCACATGAACTTGAAACAGGATTGAAATGGAGAACGCTGTATACGGTCCCCGAGATCCCTCACTTCTGTATCTTCAGAATGATCATAGATCAAGTGCTTTGACAGAGTCTAATATGGATACGAGCATACGAGTTAGACGAAGTGATCATGGGATATGGAGTGTCTTTCATAGGCCGCACAACCCTCATCCTCATCCTCGGGTGTTATGTTATTTGGTCCAGATGAAGTTATATGGTGTATATCGATGTCGACGTATGCAAGCAGATTGGGCTCTTATCACTGCATTAGTAGAGAGATGGCGCCAGGAGACTCACACATTTCACCTGCGTGTAGGGGAGGTGACAGTCACCCTACATGACGTGGCGTTGATATACGGACTACCGGTTGACGGACGTCCGGTCATAGGAGTTGATACTCATCGTAGGACTCGTGAGTGGCAGCAGTATTGTATGACATGGCTGGGATTTGCACCGGATTCATCAAAGATAAAAGGATCGAAGTTGAGCGTCAAAGTCCTTAGTGAATATTTAATCAATAATCCCGTTCTTGATAATAGTACATATGAGCATCTTGTTCATTACACTCGAGGGATTGCTTTTCTCATAGTAGGGGGGATTATGTGTCCCGATCACACTGGCGACTCTATTCCATTGCTGTATTTGAGACATTTAGAAGATCTTGATGCTGTCAGTACATATAGTTGGGGTAGTTGTACTCTAGCAGTCCTCTACCACGAGTTGTGCAAAGCATCGAAGATATCTGCAAAAGAAATCAGTGGTCCTGTTCAATTATTACAGGTAACATAATGAATTAATTATATAATTTAGTACATTAATACATTTAATTTGCAGTTTATATTATAAAAAAATTATATTCTTGTATTATTTAACAGATATGGGCATGGATGCGGATTCCTCCATCAAGGCCCATACCTACTCTGGCGAAATGGGGCACAACACTTGAGTATGCAGGATATGAGTTTCCCGTACCACCTTACGGTGCACGGTAATGGTTTTGAGATTTATGTTAAATTATTTTTGCATTATTGTTACGGTGATTTGTGTATTAATTTTTTGTGTCTATAAATATAAGGGTTTGTTTGAGCCAACTTCCACTATATTTTTCTAACATTTTCAGTCAATTTTACTTGAATTTCTAAATAAAATTTCAGTCAATTTTAGATTTTTTTTTAAAATTTTCTAAATAAAACCTTTTATTTTTGTCATTTTGAATTTCTTTCGGCAGTTCAAATTCTCAACAACAATATGATTTTGAACCTTATCTTTATTATTATCTTAAGTTTAATATATAATAATATATCGCAGGTGGACCAACCATGTCAGCTTCATTGAGACTGGTGCACATGTTCTTCGTATATTTAGGATGATGTTGGATCAGATGCTCCCAGATCAGTTTATATGGACGCCATATGATCTGGATGATCCGGAGTATCAGTCTGTAGGTGGTGATTCGACGATCACATGTAATGGTATATGGGTATCGAGAGTCCCCCTGATATGCTACGCAATTGTGGAGATGCATCGACCAGACAGAGTAGTACGTCAGTTCGGGATGGTACAACCCATACCTGAACCTCCTGAAAATACTGAGACGGATTTCCGGATGCACGTCAATGCTAACCGTACAGGTGCTACCAACCGAGACTGGAGGCTTACACATGTTTCGCATGTTACCGCTTGGGATAATAGACTCGATTATATTGTTGATTATCCATATGCCAGTGACAGTCAGACTACAGAAGATGGTTATTTTGAGTGGTATGAACTGCACACACGTCGTTTCATATCACCGATTACCCCATCTGATCGTACAGGATTTCAGGTTGGAGGTCAGATTTCAATGGATACAGTGGTACGTATTCAAATTTATTTATTATAAAATTTTGTGTATTATATAATTTTTATTAATGTATGTCTTCTAAAAATAAAATATTTCTTATTACTTATTTCAGATTCAGCATCTTCGATCGTTGATTGTTTCTGTTGATGGCGGAGACATGCCCCGGGATGGCTATCGTTCGTATTTACCGACTCTCAGAACATGTCTTAATGTCTTAGAGTCTCGACACGGACCTTCAGATAGGCCTCAATCTGAGATGCCTTATACTCAGACTCACTCTCAGACTCAGACTCAGATACCACTGTCTCAAATGCCTCAGTCACAGACTCAGATGTACGCTGGCGAGGCAGGAACTTCTTCTCGTGCATATTATCCGGCATTCGATAATTATACAGATCCTAGAGCACACGGGCATCCATCTGGTATGTTTAGTACCTTTGATTTTATTTTTAATACTATCTACAACTGTGAGTTTAATTATAATCTCGTTGATGCAGATCCGTACACCCCATACCCCTACTTTAATCCGAATATGAATTCGGAAGACCCAATTCATTTGGGGTCTACGCATCAGTTTTCGTCTTCGCGACCGGTAGATCATCAGATCACACCTATTCCTTATTTTGAATCCGCAAATTCTTCGAGTGATGAGGATGAACAAGTTGGTAGAGGGCACAGGACTAGAAGGCCCCCGAGATGTGGCACCGGAGGTCACCGTCATTGGTGATATTATTATTGTAGTTTATGTTGGTTATTTATTAAAACTTTTTCGTATTTTAGTTATTCAATAAAAAACAAATTAAATAAACTAAAGGATTTAGAGACAAAAAATATTTCCCAATAATTAGGCATTTTATTTTTATTTAATAAAATATGGAAATCGGACGGAATGGATCGAAAATGCCTTTTTTGGAAATTTTCCAATTTTTTCGGAAGTTAAAAATAGGTTCCAATTTCCGTTCCAAAAAAATCGGAATTTCAAAATCCATTCCAATTTCGGAATACCTCGGAATCGGCGGAATTTCGAAATTTTCGGAAATTGCATTAATTCTTAATGTTTTGTTCCAAAATCGGAAATAATGGTAATTTTTAGTATTTTTTTTTAATATTTTCGTAATTTTCCGGCAAAATGCAAGAATCCAAAGCAAAGTTCAATCAAATAAAATTTAAACACTTGTAAAAACAACATAATTGATATATCAAAGCAACTATAATTCTTGCAAAACATCAATAGAAAAATAATTCAAAAACACAATATATATATATATATATATATTTCCAACATGATTATTTCAAACATATATATATATTTCCAACATAATTCAAACATGATTATTTCCGAAATACAATCGGATCGGAAATCGGAATTTCCAATAATTTTATATGTAATTCCAATTCCGTTCCAAAAATAATCGGAAAAATCGGAAATCGTAAATCGGAAATTGGAATGAATTTTTTTTTTTCCAAATTCGTATTATTTTATAGTGAATTATAAAATAAATTGCATAAATAAATGAAGGAAAATTTTTAAAATACAATATATAATTAATTTAAAATTAAAATTCAATTAACCATTCCAATTTAACAATAAAAAGAATTAAGTAAATTTAAAAAACCTTAGATCAAATCCAGCCGTTGATATAAACACAATCCAACGGCTGGTAAAAGGCGTCATATTAAATGACGCTGTAATCCAGTGTGGCGGGTCAAAGGGCGTCGTTTTGAATGACGCCTTTTAACAGCCGTCCATTGCCCAGATTAATCTCTGACCGTCAGATTAGGAGGACAAGATAGGAGATCTGGCCGTCAATCTCAGCTCAATCCAACGGCCCTTAAAACGCGTCGTTTTAAACGATGCTTTATTGTATTTTTGTAAATAATTACAAAATGACCCCATTTCAAAAAAAAAAAAAACCGAAATATTCTAAAAAAAAAAATGGCCCGAACAAATGGAGTATAAAATATAAATAATATTATATTATTAAATTTTACTATTTTGATGTACTATATTTTATTATTATATATTAAATTGATTATTATTTTTAACTTTTAAAATAATATTCCGGTGCATCGCAAGGAAAAAAATGTTAGGATTATAAAACATAAAACCCTCGCCAACAAGGCAGAAGTTCAATTCTACCCTCCATTCCACCCAACCCACCCCCACCCCACCCAAAACCCCAACCTTCTTCTTCCCCCATCCACTGAGCAGAATCCATTCAACAATGGCGATACTCTCGTTGCCATTGGTAACATCCATATTTAAGAAACCTCACTTCTCCGTCCTGTTAATCGCAGGCCGAAGTATTAATTCCGGTTCACCCCCAATTTTCCGGCCGAAGCGCTTTTTCTCCGCCGCCGCAGCTAACCTTTCTTCCGCCGGCACGCACACTTCTTCTATTTCATCGCCGACGGAGCAGGAAAAGCTGAAACAATCTTCATCGTTGGCATCCTCTGCTCTTACTTTTCAGCAAGCCATTCAGCGCCTCCAGGTTTTACTGCACTTCTCATCTGTTACTGCATTAGTTGTCTCCACTAACGCGATTAAATAGTAATTAAGTTGATTTCAGCCGAATGCCGAATTTGTTTTTTGATTTGTGAGTTGTTAACTTGTTGTTGAAGATGCTTCAATTGCAATATGTGATTTAAGGTGTTAGCACTGGAGAATTGACGATAACTTTAGACACAGTTATTACACGAGTTGGGAATTATAACAAAAACAAATATGAAACGGTGCGAGAATTTTGAATTGGAATACAGTAAACTTAAGCAAATACATCTTGCGGACTTTGATAAGAGGTGTATTAGTGTATGTCTGGAACTGGATTGGACAAAGTATATAAAAAGGTGTATAAGTTGTTTGTTTGTTTGTTTCTTTCTGGGATTATGGATTAACGGTAAGGATGTCTACACATTACACACACAACCCTTTTTAATTCGTGCAAGGTAAAATAGGGGAAACTATGAGAACTCTCTGGTTTTGGCAGATTTTTTGTTTTCTTACATGTGAATGTAAACAGTCGATGTTATTTTTAATTCCATTTTGGACCTTTAATATTATATTATGCAGGAATATTGGGCTTCTGTTGGATGTGCTGTTATGCAATGCAGCAATACTGAGGTAAAATTTGAACTCAGTATTTACGGTAGTTTGAAGTCAGAGGTGGTTTCTTTTTAATTTGGCATTGCTAGTAAAATTATTTCAGTTCTAGATTCTTATCGAGCCGTACAACCATGAAAAAATACTTTTGATCGCTTTTATAGAACTTTTTTTACATTCCATTAGTAATGCAATTCTTTTTGGGGGAGCATTTATTTTAATGTTGTTATGGCCGAGAGTGAAAATTTTATTTTCTTCATACATTCTGAAAACTATTACGTCCTTACAAGTATTGAAAGCATATCATATGCACCTCTTTCTTGCTTGTACCATGAATCTGTTCTAAGATGACTTTATGGTTCCTGTTTTCTGATGCTTACTTTTTTCACATCTTTCTGTTTTCTATCTTTGCTTTCAACTCTTTACGTGTATTGGAGGTCTTCCATCCAAAGATTGTTTAATTTCTTGAGGCTTTGATAATGATGAGCAGGTTGGAGCCGGGACAATGAACCCTCTTACATTTTTAAGGGTTCTCGGTCCAGAACCATGGAATGTTGCGTAAGTATGCTTTTGACCCATCATGAAATTTATATTTTCTTCATATTTCTCTCATGTCTCCTTTTTCTGGTCATTCTGGTAGTCCCTTCTCTTTTTTGACTCCATCAACCTCTCACCCTAGAGAAATTGAAGAAATAAATGCTTGCTAACACTTAGTTAATTCATATCTCATTATGCTGCCTAAGTTGAGGAATATGAATAAATTTATTGATATAATTTTTGCCAGTGGCCTGACCAAGTATGCAGCCTGCTTATTTGTTTTTTATTTACAAAAAGCTCCAGGATTTGATTATGTTATTTTTTGTCTTAATCTTCTAGATTGCCTATTGTTTATACCTGACTGAAGTTGAATGGAAAACCTGCCTTTATTCCTTAATTGCATCTGTTTGGAGTCTAGCTAATAAGTTTGAAATGAAGTTATAAATTATATTAATTTAGGGATTACTTATTCATCTTTTTACCAGTAGCAAATATTAGTCAAGTTGTCTCAAGTATGTTAAAGTGGCTCTTCTAGTTCTGTTCGTTTATTTGGGGAAGGGTTTGGAATGAGTTCAAGGATAAACTTCCAGAACCAATTTTCAATACATAATTATATAATAGTATTTAAACAACGGGATTTTTTTTTGAATGGCTCAGATCGTGGAAGAGTTTTAGATCGTATCATTCAGTCGTTGATGAGTTGTGGAAAAAATGCATAATGTTAGAAATGAATTTTTAAACTAATTCCTAAAAACCTAAGGGGCTATGTCACTCCAGGCATCCTGGATTTGATAACATGGTTTGATTTAATGTTGGTTGGAGCTCATGCTATGCCAAATTTAAGTTAAAGTAATATAAACTATAGCATCTATTATTGAGCACTTGATAAGATTGTTGCGTCTCTATAATGAGTCTGTGTATCATTCTTATTTTTGTTATTGGTCTTTCATTTTTCAATGAGATCACTGATTTGTAAGTTTTCTGGTGGAAGGTATGTAGAACCTAGTATCCGACCTGACGATAGCCGTTATGGTGAAAACCCAAATAGACTTCAAAGACACACCCAATTTCAGGTGAATTTTGAGCTTCTCTATGATTGAAATTTATGAAACTTTTTGAGGTTTGGCTTCAGCATCATGTCATTTACTTTTGCAGTGCTTATCTGAAAATGTCAGGTGATATTGAAGCCTGATCCCGGGAATTCACAAGACTTGTTCATTCGAAGTTTATCTGCCTTAGGTTTATTATACTATCCGTCATTTTCTTGTCAATAATTTATTCTTCTAGTTTCTTGATTGTCATCTCTCTTATGCTTATCTAGTTTAGATGTTTCATTTTAAAAATCAAATATTATTATTTTGGCAGACTTAAATTTTCACTTTAATGACTGTCAGGTATTAACGTAAATGACCACGACATCCGTTTTGTCGAGGACAACTGGGAGAGCCCGGTGAGGCCTTGTTTTAATCGTTTTACCCGTTGGATACAGCACATATATATTGCATAAACTATTTTCAGGTTATGTCAGGGTCGTATTTTTTTTTGCTACTGCTTCTTGTTCGATTACCTTAGAGTTCAGCCACTCGCTCCTCTTACTGCTCATCATTTCACCTTTTCCCGAGTATTGAGGTTTATGTTATTTAATAGATGCTCTACTTGTCTTTCATTTCTGGTAGGTGTTAGGTGCTTGGGGATTGGGCTGGGAAATTTGGATGGACGGAATGGAGATTACTCAATTCACCTACTTTCAGCAGGTTGTCTAACATTTCAATATACAAATACCTCTAGAGTTAAGTATGACGTAAACAAGAAAAACACTACATGTTCCCTTTCTGTAAATCTTTTACTGGTCTATGGTGAGGATCTTTAATCATCACGCTATCATTTTCTGATGTCTTGATCACGTAATTTTCTTTCTCAATTCCAGGCTGGAAGTCTTCCATTGACGCCTGTTTCTGTAGAGATTACCTATGGTCTTGAAAGAATCCTTATGTTACTTCAGGTCCCTTGTGTAGCATCAGTTACTCTCTCTTATACTTTGTGCTGTTAAAAACATGATTGCCTGAAGCTTGTTTGAGTTTTGCAGGGAGTTGATCATTTCAAGAAAATTCGATATGCTGACGGTATAACATACGGAGAGCTCTTTCTAGAAAATGAGTTAATACGCTTATACATACTTTTTACCATTTTCGTCAAAGATGCTGGTTTTTATGCATCATTCATATCATTTTTATTAGTTTATGATGCAAGTCAATGTGTCGTAATTATATTTTCTTATTTCTTTTCATTATTTGCAGTTTTGGCATGTAATGGAGAACTTTCAGACATTTTTATAATGTTGTATCTTATGTTCTTTGTGGAAGCATATTCTATCATTATATGTTGATCTGCCCTACCCCCGTTCGATTCATCTATTAACATATCGTGACTACCTAGTCCTGCAACATGAATTTAGCAAAAATGTCTTCGCCATGTCATGGATTTGCTTGTAAAGCATGAATTCTTTTCTTATTTTAGTCACAGAACAGATATCACTCAGTATTTGATTCAAAGAGATAAGGAGAAGATTTATATTAGGGATTTGAAGTTGGATGAGTTGATTTTGCATTTCATAGAACTCGTTTAAGTATTAAAGTTTTAAAAAACAAGAACAATTTTTTGTGACCTTTTCAGTTTTCGCAGCTGAATCCTTCAACATGCTATTAAGTCTTTGTCATATTAATTGCCGCACAAAGTGAAGTTGATTTACTAGCCATTCTCCAGTCCTTTCCCACTCCTTTCCTTCCCCTTATTCTGTTTCATGTAACTCAATTTTAGACACTCTTTCTAATTGAGATATCTTCTGTGCATCTCATTTTCCTTGAATATATTTCTTCATTTTCTGTGTTCTAATTTTTAAACAACAATCTACACGGTTATATTATTTAGGTGTGGACTGAAGACATTTTCTGCCTTTTCATGCTTAACGTATCTTTTCTAAATATCTCTCCATTTTCTTTAGAAACGAGAGTGATGACTATTATTATCTGTTTCAGGAAGGAAATGAGTGCCTATTATTTGGAGCATGCCGGTGTAGATCACATTCATAAGCATTTTGACCTTTTTGAGGCTGAATCTCGCCGTTTGCTTGACTTAGGCCTTGCAATTCCTGCGTATTTTCCTTTTACTTCATTCCATTTTCATGAACTGTAACAAATTTAGGGATCTTCCATAGTTTCCAGGTGGTAGTTGACATGCATCTCTATCTTTTTGGTGAAGGTAGGTATGATCAGCTTTTGAAGACATCTCACGCCTTCAATGTCTTGGATGCTAGAGGATTTGTTGGAGTAACAGAACGTGCTCGTTATTTTGGCCGTATGCGTAGGTTTGTAATCTTATTTGCTGTTATGCTGATGCAAGTTCTTACCAGAGACAGTTATAACACACTCCATGTTTTTGCCCATATTTTCTTGCACACCCGACTTATAAACCACTTCCTTTGTTTTGCCTTTTTTATTTGATTAGTGCCTGTTAACCTATTATGCTTGATGGCCAATCTATCTATTCTGTGAATTATTGTTCTTAGCCATTTACATTCTCGGGTATTTTGCTCCACCTTGATATTTAACAAGTTCAAAATCATCTTTAATATATTTTTCTCCCTCCCTTCAGTTTAGCCCGTCAATGTGCTCAACTATGGTTAAAGACGAGGGAATCTCTTGGGCACCCTTTGGGCGTTGCTTCTCAACCTGATCACCTTGGCTTTCGGAAAGAAGACATAGAGGAACTGAAGGAAAAGGTTCATTTGAGAATGTTATATTTGTCTGTAACCTTAGCAGTAGTCTGTGCAATCTAGAGATTTAATCTCCATTCCTCATTGCACTTTGAAAATGGATAAACTAATACTTGAAAAGGATGATGGGAATCATCTATGATTGAACATGAAGAGCTTATAATTTATCAGCCAGTGGAAGATGGTGAGTCTTAGTTCTGAAAACAAAAATATTTGTTTAAATCGTCTGTTTTTTTTTTAAATATTTAACACAAAAATTTCAAGAGAGATATCACTGGTTGATCATTTAGAAAGTGTAAATCTTCTTAAACATTGAGAGTTTCCTATTTGGCTCACTGGAAAACCATAATAACTTTTCAATGGTTACTTCTGTGGAGTATCAGATTTTCTTTTTACAGATTTTATCTCAGTTGCACTGGAAGAATTTTAAAATATTGCTACATAGAAAAAATACTGAGAAATGCAACTCACTGATTGACTCTTTAGTGTTTTCATTCTTGATCCCGTTAAATACTTTGTTAGTAATATTTGCTTATATATAGTGCTGCTGCTGCTTACTTTGTATATATACATTCCCATCCAGTTCTCTTATTCTCTGCCTATTTTATTCAGGTTTCTGTAGGACCACGCACTTTTATTCTTGAAATTGGGACGGAGGAGTTGCCGCCAAGTGATGTGCTGAATGCATGCAGCCAAGTAAAATATGATTCTTGATTTTACTTTCTCATGGCTCAATATGCAAAGCTATTTATTAACCTGCTATGTCGTCTACTAACATTTCATTGGATCTGTTCATTGCAGCTGAAAGATCTAGTCAAGCAGTTGCTGGGAAAACAAAGATTGAATTATGGAGACGTTCGAACTTGCGGAACACCACGTAGGCTTGTGGTATGGTTGAATTGATAAGCATGTGTAATTACGTATTGCTTTTTATAAGTGCATAATCTTATTGCTCTGTGATTCGGAATTCAACATGAGATTGAATGAGTGAGTCACATATAAACATTTTCGACGGATTTATATAAAAGAAAAAAGTGACAGTAAAAATAACAAGCTGCACATATTCATGAGTTGAATAATATCACTTTTTATTTGGTAATAAGTGAGATAGTGTGAGCACATTTAGCTAAGACTATTAGATGCATTGCTTCATAATGTGATTGATTTGGTAGTAAACTTAAAGAATAAGACTGACCTTGATTTGTATAGAAAGGTCAAGGAGATCTTTCTGTGGTTTTACATTGAAGATAGTCCATGATGGAGTCAAATAGGAAAGGAAATTTTTGGTTAGTACCAGCTTTATTGAGCTGAGCAATGGTGGATGTATATCTTTTTGCATTTTTTTTCTACAATCTGAATATATACAAGTCTTTTCCGCCCCCGACTTTTCATCAACATCATGATGAACTGTTCATAGTTTAGCCAAAGAGATGATGGTCCCGTCTCATTCCTGACCGAGTCGCAGATTTTTTCAATTCTTAATGTAAGAAGGCTGCAAGACATGCCATTGGGAGTGAGAAATTCTCTAGTCTAACGTTACCTTAAGAATGACTTTGTGCTATTTTGAATATTTGTTTTGGGCTTTTGAGGCACATCAACTTCCTTTTGTTGCTAATCTAACTCTCATGTACTATTGCTGACACAACATTAGCTTAATTATTTGCTGCTCTTTCCCCTTATATTTGGTTGTGGATTTCATGAGCTGTACTTATATTGCACAGACAAACTTGTATTGAATACGTTAGTCCTTTTTTTTTATATAGATCACGGTCCTTATATGACGTATTTTATGCAGGTTCACGTTGAGAATCTATGTGATAAGCAGGTGGCCAATCAAGTTGAGGTTCGGGGACCTCCAGCGTCAAAGGCATTTGATGAGGAAGGAAATCCCACCAAGGTCATCCATCATGTCTAGAAAATTATCGTTTTGTTTTTTCTTACTAAATTTGTCAACTGGGCGTTTTTGGTCTGATAAAGTGAGCTTAAATTAGTTAGCCCGGTCAGATAAATGACCCGGTGCTTACAGTCGTGGCCTCTTCTCTAAAATGCTATTTTCATATTGTCTAACCATAATGGTTATATCATATACTCATTTTACACGGAGGCATTGATGTCGACCACTTAACCGGAGCTATTTAGTGACCTTCATCAAATATGACGATATATTCATAATTTTATTTTCAAACCTCAGCTTTTATAAGGTAGCTAACCAAGCATTGATCTATCAACTAATTGCAAATTTCTTCGTGGCATGGATTGTGCATTATTTTGTAATTGTTATTTTCGGAAGCTAATTCTTCTCTTACTGTAACCGATCTTCGGCCTTTTTGCTTTGACTGTTTCTGCAGCTGTCTCTCAAAATTTTAAAAGCGCCAATAACAAACTTACAGAGACAGTTGATTAAAAAAAAATTCAGAGATGTAGCAAGAAATGATTGATTTGTTTGCATCAGGGTATGATAGTTATTCTGTGGACCAATTTATATGACTTATCCTAATGTATTCGGTGTTTTTTCATTTATATTTTCTATTTCTGATATGATAACTAGAATTTGTTAAATTTTTTATTGGCCAAAATTTCAGATTCAACATTGTTCTCATTAAGTGTAATATTTGACATGTTGGCTTGTTTTTGTCGTTTTCAATTGGTTTCTCTTAATTATAGCATTACCTAGTCTTCTCTGTCTGTGATGTTACACCTATGAGACCATGGTTCATGTAATTGTATTTTATATTGGTAGTAGTTTTCTCTTACACTATCATCTGTGTCTAATTCAAGTCACTGCTCAGGCTGCTGAAGGTTTCTGCCGCAAAAATGGTGTGCCTTTAAGCTCTTTGTACAGAAGGGTTGAAGGTAGAAATTCTTGCTTATATTTGATATCATCTAGTATTGGTTGAAACTTGTGCTATACTTTAGTAATTATTTTGCTGTAGTATTTGCCAGTTTCACTCTTAATAGGTTTTCTGTCTCTTTTATTCCTTTTTACTGATTTTAATCAATGAAGTGAAAGATATATGAAAGATTTAAAAGGTCAAACATTTTTCCTCCTAGTATACTTCCTTTCCTTATTTGCAGTTAAATACAACTTAAAATGAAACCAAGTTCATTGTTTGAAGATTAATTTTAAAACGAGTCGAGTTGGTAGGATGCAAATTATTAGTCAACATAGTAAGCATATACTTGAACCTGAAAAACATTATGTTAAGGAGCAGATGTAAATGAAGAAAAAAAGAATAGTCGGAGTTTTTGAAGGAGAGAGATGTTTGGGATTGCTTCAATCGTGAAGGACAAGACAGTCTGATGAGACTTTCTGAATATCATTAGCTCTCCTTATATATGAATTTTACATAATATTCTCAGGATATGAATACATGTCCTGTATGAAATGATGAAAAGAGATTTGATGACATAGCCTTGGAGCAAATAACCTCAAGCAACACGAAAACCCTAGGTGTGATATCTAAAGATAGCAAATGTTTCTAAACTGGAAAACCAGAATGCTTTTCACTGTTAAGAAGTTTTAGCTTATGGAAAACAACTATATTTATGATCAAATGTCTTTAGTATCTCATTTCATTCCCGCCTTTCAACTTCAATCCTTTTTAGTAATTATTTAGTATACTTTGCACCTACAGCTGTTATTAGTAATTTCAGAAGATAGAGCTGCTGTTATTTAGTCAATTCTTTTTACAAGGCGATTTCTTTTCATTCGATTTGTATTTCGACTTTTATTTCTTGTTGTGCTTATCAAATATTTTTTTTGCAGGGAAAACAGAGTATGTCTACGTTCGTGCGGTGGAGCCATCACGGCTTGCTTTGGAGGTATCCTACAAAAAGCATTTTTCTTGTTGTATCCTGACGTATTAAAGACATTTTATTGAAGGCTCCCTCCCAGTAGATTATCATGACTAATAAACCTTGTAATTAAGTATTACACACTGGGAATTCTTTGCCTGTAGTCCTTTGCTTTATTCTATTTACGATCTACTTTTCGTTTACTGTACTTGTACTGTTCTCTTGAACAGGTTTTATCTGAAGAGTTACCTTCTGCCCTGGCTAAAATATCATTTCCCAAGTCTATGCGGTGGAACTCTGAGGTTTGTGCTGCTGTAGCAATATATTCAATTTCTGTTGTCTAACCTTTTTCAAAATGTTCTTTGGTATTTTTGATACTGTTCATGCTCATAAGTTTCCTACTGCATACACTTTTAGCTTATTCATCATTTGAATTTTATTGTTGAATGTAGCATTTATATAAGCTAAAATTTTCATCTTAGCTTGAGGCATGCATTTATGGTTGGATGTAGCATTTATATAAGCTCGAGGCGTGCATTTATTTTACTGCCATATTAAAATTCATTTGTGCTGTAATATTTTCATTTATTTTTATGTCATTCATTGAAACAATAAATATTTGCTTTATTTTTATTTTTGCTTCTGTTACAATTTTTGCATTGTATTATATCAGAAAAAATGGTACTTTTTATAGTGGTGATATTGAAGATATGTTTCCTCGCCAGTGGATAGAATTTTTTCATAATTGTTTATCAACTTACATATATTTACATTTCACTATTGTTTGATCCTTTTATTATATGTCATGTCTGATTGTTTAGAAACTGAACTTAACTTCTGCGATTACAGGTTATATTCAGTAGACCCATCCGTTGGATATTGGCACTACATGGAGATGTAGTTGTGCCCTTTATATATGCTGGTGTTCTAAGGCAAGTTTTGGTACCTTTTTTTTTTTTTTTCTCGTTTGGTTCTGGCTGATATTGCTTGACATGAAACAGACGCATAATTTTTATCTTCTTTTTTGCTTGATGTTGTCATTTTTATTTATTTTACAGAAAAGGATTATTTTTCCGTTGTATGGAAATCGCTATAAGTGGCTGAAGCAGAATAAGTGATGTCAGTTTAAACCTTGGAAAACCCTTTGTCAGCACTTTATACTACATTTTTGGAATCTATCCTAGTAACTGCATGAGTCTATGAATGCTAGACAAGCATTACATATTACTGAAACGGATGAAGTGATAAGATAAAAACAAATTAGCACTTAGCACATTGAGTTAAGTTTAATCTGAATAATTACGACACTGAATTTGGAGAAGAAATGTAATTCCCACCTCTTGATTCATGTTTTGCTATTCTGATATTTTGTAACTGTTGAGAATACAAAACATAAATCTGGACCGACTACTACTGTTTTTCTAGAAAAACTATTATGGATTTTTTTGGGTGTACTACTTTGGGCAATGGGGTGCGTTGGGTTGAGGGATCATGGAGATATGCTGCATATGTGTTGAATTTTTTTCTGTACGATATCATGTGAACATTGGTATTTGGTATGTCGTATTCTCATTTCAAGTCTCATGGAATTTGAGACCTTGGAAATTGCATTCATTTCTTGTGGTCTAATTTTTATATAGGTGTATAGTACTCATCTCAGTTTCTCTGTCACAGTGGGGATGTTTCTCACGGGCTTCGAAACACTCCGTCAGCTACTATTAAGGTTTGTTGGTCTATCCAGAAATGTAGTGTTAATCTGAAGTTTCACAATCTTTTTGAATTTTAAAAAATAATCTATTTTCGTCGCTAGCATGTGCAGCTAATTCATAGTGCAAAAGAATTTATATTGTAAAAGATTTCTAAGGTCTCAAATAAAACTATTACCTGTATTGTAAAAGATTTCTATTGTTATTTGTCCCTCATTTGCTAACCTGTATCACTCTTTACTGAGCTAGGAATTTTTTTCAACGTATCGATGAAATAGTGGTTTTGTGAAGTAGTTTTGCTATCTTGTGGAAGTTGTTTTAGTTTCTGTAAATTTATTTAATCCAATCTTCAAGATTCTTACAGCATCTGCAGCCAACAGGTTTTCCTAAGTAAGCATTTTGTAGAATACTTCAAAAATTCTGAACTAATAGTAACACCTTCAGATGCTATCTTATATTTCTGAGTATTTAATACATGATTATATGACAAGCTTAAAGGCTTACAATTAGGTTGTCGGTAAACACCCGACTTTTCTCTTTTTAGCTAAAACTTACAGTAAAAACCCCGGTTTTTGAACTTTTTTCTCTGCTCACTTACTAAACTTGTTGCCTGCATGTTTACTTGTCGCTGATAAACTTTTTTTCTCTAGACTTTTAGCTATCTAGTACTTATTCTCGTGACACTGAAGATATGCTTGAATCCGTCCGCATTCTTACTTTTCCTGGAAAGTTCAAAACAATGGTTTGTCTTTTATTGTGTTCTAAAGGTTGTATGGATATATTTTTCACGACTGCAGGTAGTAAGTGCAGAATCTTATAAAGATGTGATGCAGAGTGCTGGAATAGCCATCGATGTTGAGGTGATATATATATATATATATATATATATATTGCATGCTTACAGAAACCAAGATATTTCGGAAGTTGATTGCTTTAATTCTTTATTTTTCAGCAACGCAAGAAGACAATACTTGAGAAGTCTACTTCGATTGTAGAAAGTATTAGTGGTTCTGTTGTAATGCAAAGTGGTTTACTTGATGAGGTAAGAAACAAGTCCCCACAATTTCTATTTTGCTTGAGAACAATTTATAAACATTTTCCTCTATCTTTAGGTCGTAAATCTCGTTGAGGCACCTCATCCAATTCTGGGAAAGTTTAGTGAGTCCTTCCTAGAGCTTCCAAAAGAGCTGCTAATAATGGTTTGTCAGTAGCTTCTATTCATTAAAGTTAGATTATCTTCTTCGTAATATATGTTTGCTGAGAAAATTGATGAGCTTATTTAATTTTTACACTCAACGCATCCTATATGTTTACTGATGAATTCTTGCTATCATATGTTTCAAACAATACAAGATGTTCTCTTTTCAATCATTTAATGCAAGAATACGCACTTTAGGTTATTCTAATTTCTCAGGCTTCTCATTATCATAAAACTGTGCAGGTTATGCAGAAGCATCAGAAATATTTTGCAATAACCAATCAGGACGGAAAGTTATTGCCATATTTTATCGCTGTGAGATAAGCCAATCATATTATTTATCTATTAAATACACAGTCACTGTAGTTACAGTTTTGATACTCCATTTGTTGGTTCAGGTTGCAAATGGAGCAATTGATGAAACGGTTGTGAGGAAAGGAAATGAAGCTGTACTGAGGTTGATATACTCTAATACATGTATTGTTGCATCTGCTGTTTTTTCTCTTATTTACATTTAGACTTAGTAACATGACTTCAATTACTCCAAACCTTGAAAGTCTACTCCCAATTTGTTCCAATGACCCTGACCAATGGATTGAGTAAATAAAATAAATATGGTTGCAGAGCTCGATATGAAGATGCAAAGTTCTTCTATGAGTTGGACACAAGTAAGAGATTTTTGGAATTTCGAAATCAATTGAAGGGAATCCTGTTCCATGTAAGTTTCTATAATCTATATATCATACGGTAGTGTTACGGTTTTAATTGAGAGTCTCATTATCATTGGTATCTATCTAGGTATAAGTAAAAATTGAATGCTAGAAACAAGATTATATTACTTTTTAGACGATCTTTTAAGCGTTGCAAAGAGTTTGGAGGTCTTTTAGATTCTAGATAAATATCGTCTAAAAAGATATTAAAATATCTTTAAGGTCTCCTACTCGTTCATATCCTGATAAGAGTACTAAACAGGAAAAGCTGGGAACAATGCTGGACAAGATGACACGAGTTCAAAGTTTGGTTACTGAAGTGGGATTATTGCTGGGGTTAACTGAAGACATGCTCCAAGTCGTTCAAGATGCTGCATCATTAGCCATGTCAGATCTTTCGTCTGCGGTTGTTACGGAATTTACCTCTCTTGCTGGGATAATGGGTCGTCACTATGCTCTGAGAGATGGCTATTCAGAGCAGGTCTTCTCAATTAGTTTTTATTGCTTTATCTACTCTTATGCATTCCTGTCTGTGGTGATTCCTTGTCTGGTCCCTGCTGCTTAATTTCTCGTACTGGGAGCTTGCAAAGATTAATACTAACAACATAATTTGACCTCTTGATGTCTCAATTTTGGTTAACGGGATCCTGATTCTTTCACTTCTAAATCCTAATAGCAGTAGGTAGCTCTGATGTTGGAATTGAAGGCTTGAACTTATAGACACATGCCAGTCTAATGTATTTAGATTCACATCCATCTTTTGTCACCTATCTCGTTTTGGCAAGATAATTGAAGCACATGGACTTCTGCAGACTGACATAATTTACCATTGTTGCTACTCCAATGAAGTATTGAGTTTACATTCTGTAATAAAAGCAATAATGAATAAGTAAATAAAAATCTTCTGGATGTCGAAGGGACTGAAAGAAATGTATCGAATCTTTTCGTTGCCTTTCAAGAAGGATTATTTCTGTTATACGTCCCTTTATCTGAAAGTGATATGCCTGGTTACATCTATTATAAAGTGAAAATTTTCATATCAAAGTGAAATTGATTTTTTAAGCACTGATTTTTTTTTATATTTCAGATTGCCGAGGCACTATTTGAGATAACCCTTCCACGATTTTCGGGAGATATACTTCCAAAAACTGACGCCGGGGCAGTTTTGGCAATAGCTGACAGGTATAAAACAAGCTACTCTCTCTTCTCTGTGTGATTCCTCGGATTTCTGTGTTAAATGTCTCGGCAGCTGCATGGTACTGCTATTGACTTTTGGCATTCTAAAATTGAACTTTTTTCTTACACATATATTATCGTGCATGCAATTAAACTATTGAATTGAGATTTTCATTAGTTTCTGTTCTAGATGTCCATTCTGCCTCTTAACTTCAGAACTGGAAACCTGGTAGTAGATAGAGTGGATCTGAAGCTAAGATGCAAAACAACAAGGAAATGTTCAATGATACATCCATATAATTGCAAACTTGATACTTGCTATGGAACACCTTTCTGGTTAAGCTAGACATTACTTTTTCAACTAGATATTATGCATCTGATTAGATGTTTGTCTTTATTCAGGACCATAATGATTAAAATATATATATATATCGAGTTTTATCTGATGGAGTAAAATCTAACTTGAAGCACAATTTAACTTATATTAACTGAATTGGTACCCTTTCTGTTTAAAAACTCTTATGAAACATTGCTCCTCTAATGAAACTTATATTATCACCTAGAAGGTTTGCCATTTTCATCAATCTTAGTTTTCTATTTTCAGTCTAAACATATGTAGTATTCTTTTGAGTTGGCCTTGTTATGTTATTTACGAAATTCTTTTGATTAATCAGGCTGACCTATCAACCGTTTATATACACGAAACTTGGCCAGTTGTTTGTTCCCCAAATTTACCCATTTTAGACAATTTTATGTGTCCATGAATCCATTCTTACAAAGTTTTGCCAATAAAGAAGTTTTGATAAACAAAATACATTGTGTCCGATACCTGCAACATAGTCCTGTACTATAAATCTATAATTGAAATTAGATTGACTTTTGAACTGAGCAGTTTCATTTGCGTTACTTTCTGTTTCACTATTTTGCCAGTTTCTTATATATTTTCTTTATTTCCTATTCCTTTTCGCCAGGTTGGATAGCCTTGTTGGATTGTTTGCTGCTGGTTGTCAGCCTAGCTCCGCAAATGATCCCTTTGGTCTGCGAAGAATCTCTTACGGTCTTGTATGCCATCACCAATTCGATCATAGAAATCTCATTTTGTCTGAAATTACATAAATAATGTTTCATTTGTTCATTGTAGGTGCAACTCTTAGTAGAAACAAATAGTAATTTGGAGCTAAGGCATGCTTTGGAACTTGCTTCTGCAGTTCAGCCCATGAAAGTAGAATCGCAAACAATAAGTGATGTAAGAAATGCATTAATTTTCTTTGTTAATTTTATGAAAAAGCAATCGCTAGTTACATGCTTTTATATCTTTGCCAACGGAAACTTCCGAAATATTGCCTTTTGTTTTCCTCTTATTTATGGGCAATTAACTTCTTTGTATCCCATCTAGTATCTGATGTCTGGTTATTCATATTCTGATTCACATCATGTGCTATTACCATCTTGCCATTGTTGAACAGTCGATGAAATATTTGCAGTGAGGACATGTGGTGGATTTTCTAGTGTAGTATACGACTCTCGTCACATAGAAGATTGTCATTTACTGCATTATATATATAGATTTAATGGAAAAAATAGCATAATTTTCTTTGGATAACTCTTGTTTTCTGGTTAAGTAAATCATTTATAACAATCTCCTGTCCTGTTTTAGGTACATCAATTTGTAACAAGGAGACTTGAACAACTTTTGGTAAGTTACTATCCGGTGAACTCTTTAGCTGTGAGGGTTTATTTCTTGTTCTGTTATTTTTCTGCGTACAGGCTATAAGATCGTGTTTTTAGTTTGGGGAAATATAAAATTATGTCAAGATATTTAGTAACAGTGGACAGGCATCTCTAATCTGGTTGAGAAAATAAACGACCACCTGTTAACAAGACTATGATCCTGGTTTTAGATTTATAAAAAAAAGAGTAGCAAATAATCATGCTTCTAAGGCAGAGTTTTTGCCAAGTAATACTGCATTGTAATGGAAACTAATTTTTGTTAAATTGTTGTGTTTTCCTTGATGGACATTATCTTTTAGATTGCTACCATGGTCTTTGTTTATATAGATCATGGATGTTTAGATTTATTTTTCAGCTATGAACTTTTGCAGCATTGATCGTCCAGCTTTGGTTATTGGCTTATTGATTTTTAATAGTGTCGAGAATGGTTTTACGTTGATCTGTATTCGAGTATCTAATTGGTTTTTAGTTACTCGTAGATATGTAATTCAGTAAGCTTTATATATGTTAACTTGTAACAATGTTTATATTTTGTTTTGTGGTTAAATTATTTTTAGACGGTTTTCATGAACTCTTCACCCATATTTGACAGATCGACCAAGGAATAAGTCCAGAAGTAGTTCGCTCTGTTCTCGCAGAGCGTTCCAATTGGCCTTGTCTGGCGACAAAGTCTGCTCATAAGGTAAGTGATGCTCCTTTTCTGTATTTGCATGTATTTAACCAATTTAAAACCCAGTAATTATTTATGGTGGAGATGAAGGTTATTTATTTATTTACTTCAGTTTTGTGATCCATTTACTAGTCAAGAAGACCTTACTAAAATTAAGTCCTTTTAAATAATTGTGATTATAGTCATATACAATAGTAATTTAGATTTTAGATAGAAAGGTTTTCTGTCATCAACTACATAAGATTGTTGACGGCCCCAAGTAAAAAATAATTTTGCTGCGCTGCAGTTTCTTTTTTTAATTGATAGTCGTTTTAGATAATTTTTCATGTCTCACAATTGAGGCTTTATTGTAGAACTCGTATTTTTCTTTTGTTGTTGCGAGGTAATCTTAGATTTTATTGCGTAAAAAATAAAGTTACCAAATGACGGTCTGGATGTTTTTTCAAATCCACAAGTGATAGTCAAGATAATTTTTTCTTCGTATCGGATTGTGAAATATAGTTTGACTTTTAATTTATTTATTCTTTGAGCAGATGAAAGCCTTATCAGAAGGTGAGCTGCTGCCCAAGATTATCGAGGCATATTCTCGCCCAACAAGAATCGTACGCGGAAAGGATGTAACTGATGATTTGGAGGTGCCTTTCTTACTTCACCAAAAAAAAAAAAAAAAGAACCGATCATGCAGCCTATTAGAAACCCAACCTCTTTACTTTTCTCCTTTGACAGCATTTAAGTTCTTGAGGTTGTAAATATTTGTATATTTCTTCTCTCTAAACTTTGACTTATTGTAATCATATGGAGAAAAGAAAAGAAAAGCATCTGTACATTCATTCATCTCCATTTTAGAGCCTTCTATTATATCTGCTTATCATTGCTCATACGTCTCGAGTTCTTATTTTGCTACGTTCCTTTTATTCATCTTTACTAAATGTGAAAAGCATCTGTGTTAGGTGGATGAGTCGGCTTTTGAAACAAAGGAAGAGAGAGCCCTGTGGAGCACTTTTACATCCTTAAGGAGTAAAATTCATCCTGGTACCTCCCCCCCATCTTCGATAAGTACTTGTGTTTGTTATATTGATTCTATTACAGAATTAATTCCACACTAGTCTGTTCTTCATATCTTACCCCCCGATTTTATATTTTGCAGACATGGAAGTGGATGATTTCGTTGAAGCATCTGCCGATCTCTTACAGCCACTGGAAGATTTCTTCAATCATGTCTTCGTTATGGTGGTATGTTCGTTCTCCTTCTCCATTTATTATGTGCATGGCTAATGTTTTTTACAATGTAGCCCTCCATTTGGTAACCTTATTTATTATGCATCGACGAATTTGAAAACATAGGAAATAATCACAACTTCGAATATATGCTATGTCACATAAATATAGATAACAAAACACTCGTAATACATGAATACATATCCAACCATATCGTGTATACTCACATCCCAACCATCAAACGAGCCCTTTAATGCATGTGTTATTTTACAGAAGTTTTCGATCGCTTTTAATCTGTCAGCATAACCGAGGTTCATGTGTATGCTTACTCCGTTATTCTTGCAGATGTATTTTATCTGGTCTGAATTCTTGATTTGCAGGAAGATGAAAGAATAAGAAAGAACAGGCTTGCACTTCTACGAAAAGTTTCGGATCTTCCAAAGGGAATAGTAGACCTCTCCATCTTGCCAGGTTTTTAAAACCAGTCAATTTTATCTGTACAAAAACAGAGCAAAGTGCGAACCACAACAACTAACACGGGGAGCATGGGGTCGTCATGGGGGCCATGGCCCCCCTACACCACTTTTGTGATCATAGTTTTATGTTATGTTAATTTTAGTTTTTATTTATTTCTTTCGATTAATTTATCCATATATTATTAGATTTTTTTAATAATTTAGTCGCTGCGAGAAAAAAAGGATAGATAGGAAGGGGGGAACAAGGAAATGATCATTGGCATTTGGCACGTTGGTCTTTTGTAGAACATATAAAAAAAAAATCGAATCTCGCTACATAATGAAAACGGCATCATTCGACAATTGACCTTGACTTAAGGTCTATGAGATGCTATACCTGGTGAAACATATTGAGTGGTTTTATATCATAGATCCTATCTTATACAAATAACTACCTACTAAGTATGCATACACATGGATGTGTGTGTTATTATGTGTAGATTAATGATATAATCACCCGATGTGTTTCACTGGGTATAACATCTGCAAAAACCTTGACGTACTATGAAATTATGATTATTGTAAAATAGAAAATAGTATGATTGTTTTTTGCTATTGATTATTTTTTTTGAATTATTAGTTTTTTGCGAAATTGGCAAATACACAATTAAATGCTCTCAAAAGAACATGAAATTTGTCCCCAAAAGAATGTGAGGGGCAATTTGGGCTTACTCTATTTTGCTTGGTATATAGGGTGTAACGTGACAGCCCGTTTTGAAAAGATTAGAAAAAGAATAAAATATGCCAAAGTAACTAATAATGTTGACAATTGTTTCAAATTCATTAACGCCATATTTATCATATTAAATAATATATTTTTTTGTTTAATTAAATACATGCCATATAAATAGAGGATTATATCAAGTTCTTAATTCATCAATTAACTGATCGACTTTTCGTTATTAAAGGCAACCCATAAAACCAGTTGGCAATCGGCAAACCCCAACCAATAAACACACCGCCACCGCCACCGCCACCGCCACCGCCACGGCTGCTATAGATGGCGGAAGAAGAAGTGGTAGCAGAATTGGAGGCAGTCCTGGCGGTGTACGGCGACGATTGCCATGTAATCGAAGCTTACCCTCCCCATCTGCACGTCCACCTAAAACCGCGTACCGCTGAAATCTCCTCTCAGCAGGTAATCTCCATTAAAAATTGTTCGTTCCAGAGATTGTTCAGTTTATAGTATTATCTACTCCCCAACGATACCTCTTTCTGTCATAATTGAATTAATTGCACATATAGGTTTTTGATTTGATGATTACTTGTCGTGGTGTTGTTTATTTCCGTGTTTTTCTTTTATATAAATAATTGTGGTCTTTTTGTTGTTTGCTTTTGCTGGCTTTTGCTGAGAAAACGATGCGATGGTGAACGTATTCTCTATTGGTTTACTTTGCAACAGTTGAGGGTGAACATATGATTTCTGAGTAAGGAATACTGAGTTTTTAATCTGAAATCCATTAAAATTGGTATCGATAAAATTGTGAGATAGGAACTTCTTATGAAACGAAAACGAATGTCTCTATATCCCTACAGTATGCGTCTACATGATACGACACTTGCCCTTTCACCAAGATAAGAACTTCGCTTGGGAGATTCCCAAATTGCACCACTTTTGATCGGTTCATCAAACAGGTCATATGAATTTCATAGTAGGCTTATGTAATTAGAGGACCAAATAACAGCCAATTGAGTGAGTTGTTTGTTTTTCTTTCAATTTTTTTCTTTTCTTTTCTGTTAGGCCTCCTTATTCGTGCCAGATGTATGTGACTAATTTTCTGTTTTTGTTTATTCGTGTTACGTGCTGCATTATTCTTTTTTATGGATGCTGGTCAAACTGAAACTATTTAATTAAAAGGTGAGCTAAAACTATTGATGGTGCTTTTGCAGTTTGTTGAAGCAACTATTGGGATGCGGGCTGGTCCCCAGGTAACAATGCATGCCATAGTACATATTTTGACGCACACCTAGTATATGCTTCAACCTTTTTACTGAATAAGATTTTGTGCTTGAACAATCACAGTTTGTTCGTACATGAGTTGCTATTCGCTAATGGCTGAAGGAGTTCCTTTCCTGTTATTCTTTTGATATCCTTCAGGATTTTTATTTTTTTAAATTTGTTTTTTAACCTAGGGCATTTTTCTTAGTAATCCTGTATCTCTGAAACATTAATTATCAATGGATAAGAGAAAAACATCGGTGAACTTATTATTGTCCACTATTTTGTCTTTCAGTACCCTGAAGAGCCGCCGGAGATTAGTATTATTGATTCCAAGGGTCTTGATGAGCAGAGGCAGAAAAATCTTCTATCTAGCATCCGTTGCAAAGCTTTTGAACTCATTTCCTGTTTAATGCTCGTGACACTTTGTGAGGTAATAAAGTATGCACTTTTAAGTCAATTTGCTTATTTTTATCTATTGTGTGTGTGGGTGCCAATTATTATGGTTTATTTGTTGCTTGATTTTTGATTAAGCATTGCATACTAGTGGCCTTGCTCCTTTTTAATTTAGTTTTTAACATTGTACTTTCCACACATTGATTACAACCATAAGCTTTATACATATGGAGTATACTCTTATGAAAAATATCCATTTCAAGATGTTAATACCTCCATGATCTATTTAGGAAGCAGTGGAGAGGCTCTCTAGTATGAACCACCCTGATGGAGACTGCCCATTATGTTTACATCCATTACTTGATGAAGATGGCGGTAGCAATTCGTTACCCTTTATGCAGTTAATGTCTTGTTTCCATTGCTTTCATTGGTAAGTACACTTGTGGTCTTTTATTCTCTTTGGTTACAGATAGATACTTCCATCTAAAAGACGAGTCTGAATTTTGTCAAATTGGCATATCATGTTCTCCTACTATTGTAGTGATTGCATCATCAGATGGTGGAATTGGATCCACCTGCAAAGTGAAAAAGAGATTACGAGTTCATCGTCTTCAACTTCTCGTAGGACTACACAATACCAACAAGGTGTGTTTCCATGTACTGTAGACTTGGATAATTTCTTTTTTTACTGGCAATAGTTTTTCTTAACTATTACGACTTTGCATTTGGTAAAATCTAACAATACCAAACCCTGTAAGTTCAAGTTGGCACACCCAGATATGCACACGCTGGAGTTCAGTCATATTTCACCACTTACTGAACATTCAAGTATACCAAGAGTCGGTGCCTGTTCTGAATATTATTTAGTTGTTCTGTCTTTTTTTTTTTTTTTTTTTTGCTGATATATATACATATTAAGGCTAGTGGGACAAAGAGAAGCAAAAAGAATTTGGTTTTCAATTTCTCGTACCTTTCCAGTATTAGCAAAGACGAATTTTGTCCCACTCTCCTCTCCAAATAATTTGAACTCCTTTGTGTTTGATTTTTGTTTTCAATGTAAATTGAAATTTGCCTGAGTTGTTCCTAACACTCAACTGTGATGCATGATTGTTGTCTTGCACAGATCGCAAAATGATGGAAGAAAGTATGGGGACATGCCCGGTCTGTCGTAAAGTTTTTCTTGCCAAGGATATTGAACATGTGCTCAACCTTGTTGGGACTGTTGGCCGTTCGGTACGTCAAATGAGCAGAATACCTGTTATTATTATTCTTATTTTTTCTTCTTCTTATGTTGTACCTTAGTAAACAACGTTATTTAGTTTTAATACTTAAGAACATCATTGTTATCACTTATGGTCCTTTCCATCAAGTTTTTGGTCGAACACCTGTTATGCTACCAATGTAAGTTTCTCCTTAGCTAGAGTAAGTAATAATGTATATTCGAAAACATCCTAGTTCAGGGTGGCTTGATGTCAAGGTGACATTGCCTGATCTGTGACGAATGGTGTTCTGGGATAATGAATCTTGAACAATATCCTCAACAAGTACATAAGTCAACTATAGGCAAACTTGGTTTTTTTTAGGGTGAGATTTTATTCTGTAAAAGCCCATTGATGCTATCCTTTCTTTGCCATCAATCAAGCAGGATTATAACCAGTATAGTACTATAATTGTCCAGAAAAATAATTGCAAATATTTTGTATTTTAGGGAAGGGTTGATTTAGCATTTCTTGTTGATTGCCACTTTCATTTAGTAATCTACGAAAAGTGGGGTGAATTTGCATCTATTGATATGATTTCCCTGTTAATGACCTCTTACTATTCTTTCTAAGGAACTTCCTCTAATGTCATGACACGACTTCATAGTAGCTGGCAAAATGTTTATTAATTGTCACGGCGTAATGCTACTGTGAGGGAGGTTTTGTTTTAATCTGATAACTGGACCACCATCAGGTCGATGGTTCAGTTTATGAAGTACTTTACAATATGATCATAAAATTCCTGAGAGCTACTGATCCTTTCATTACCTATTCAGTTGAAGTAACGACATATTTCTTAGCTGATTATTTAACCGTTTATTACGTGATTTAATCGACCAAGTTTCTATGGTTTGTGTTAGTAACAAGGTGGTATGTTGGGAACCGCACAAAGCCCAATGATTATGTTGTTATGGGCCCTCTGAGCTGCTTTGAGTGAAATTGCACAAGTAAATAATCCGTCGGTAGCTAGTGAATAAGATAATATTTACCAGAAAATTCTAGCTGGTAATGCAAACAGAATCTGATTGAAAATGGTCTTCTACATGTCTATTCTACATCATATTGTTGATGAAGCAGGCATATATTGCTGGCACGGATTTACTGATTTTGAAATACCATGTCAGCTTTAATAAGACTTTATTATAACAAACTTGCGAGCTGGAACTTTTACGAACGGTTTAATTTGATTGTGTCATAAGACGGCCATATGCATGGATAAAATTACTCCCACCTGACTAGTTTTCCTTTAGTTCATGTACTGAAAAATTTGGCATGTTTTTCCTTACAATTCTCGGATCAAATGTGTTAAGAGCAATCAATTATCAGGTTTCCCTGGATACACCAATAGTATTCATAGTCACATGGTAGTGGTACGCAATGATGTAGAAGGACAGCATATCAGTCAGTTTATTTGGTTATCACTTATCAGAGCTAATTTAACCCCCTATGGCTATATTTCTTTCCTCATATCAATTTGTTTTAACCTGATGCATTGGATATTTTCTTTTCACGTGAAGACAAATAATTGACATTTTTGGTTATTGCAGGATTCTGATGGGGTCGATATTGATGGAGACGTTCTTCATTCTGAATCTGAAAAGATTAGGAGACAAAAATTTGAGGCCATATTAAAAATTCAAGAAGAAAACAGTGGCTTGATTGAAACCAAGAAAACTGAGGTCCTATTGCCTGGTATGTTTCTTCCCCAATCAATTCCCTTACCCTCGACAGAATCTGACGCGATATCTGGTGAGCCACAAAATAGAAGTTCAACTGTCAAATCCGATACAATTCCAGAAAGTTCTAATAACAGGCCCCGCCACAGAAAGAACAAAAATCCTAATATGAGGAAGCACAGGACTCAAAGTTCAAGTAACCAAGTAAGACACTGGATTAGGAAAGACGGTAATGTTTCAGAAAATTAAGTAAATTATTCGTATTTACTATTTTTTGGAGGTTCTTAAGTTAGAAAAAGGGTGATTTCGCACATTGTGGACATCGATCTTTTTTCAGCATTGAGATAATTCCACCGATTGATTTCGTGTGTAATTTTCATGTCTGAATTATGGGTGACATAAAAATTTGCTGGTGTAAAGAACTAAATCCAACATACTATTAGGAAGTTAATGCTTTGGGCCTCTCTCCCAGCTAACTGATAATGAATTCGGACGGACAACGGGCAGATATCTGTGCACTTGTGCTGAATTATTGACAGTAATGATGGGTTGAATTGATAGGTAGAGATGACTTGCACAGGTGTTCTTGTCCCGAGATTTTTGAGTTTTTTGTCCGAATAGAAGTTCCTTTTTCGACATGCCAAGGTGGATTTTGTTATTATTTATTTGTGGTGAAAATAGTTTTTAATCTGCTTATCGTACTTTTTTTTTTTTAAGTCCTCCGTTTAAGGCTATGGAGAAAGTGTCGAGCCTGTTATAAGATGTTCAAACGTCTTGCTCGGAGTATTTGATTATATTGTGATGCAAGTTTCTGGTATGTATGTATGTGACATTTCCTTTCTTTTTGTTGGTTCAGATTTTCTAGTAGGTGGGCAGAGCAGGTATTAGGGGTGCATTTATATTTTACTTAGTCCAAGGTATTTATTCTGGTGGAGCACAGACATACATACATACATACATACATACATACATACATATATATATATATATATATATATATACATACATACATACATATATATATATAT